TTCTTCTGTTATTCACTATCCAACTCGCAGCAGCATAGCAAGTGATTGAAAAGACCATGGTCTGAATCAGGTTCACCTTAGTCCTCAAACTAGTAACATTGTTTCCCAGTAATTTGGAAAAGACAGGGGAGCTCTGGTGGCCTAGTGGCAAGAAGCTGCACTGCAATCCCAGAGGTGCACGGTTCGAATCCACCAGATGCTCTGCCGGGGAAGGAGGGACAATCTCCTCCTGTACCAGTCAGATCTGATTTGACGGTACACGCACAAACACAAATAATAAAATTAAAAAAAATAATAATTTGGAAAAGACTTCAATTAAAACCTATTCATTAGTATTAAAAAGCCCAATTCATGAGCAAAGAACCTTTAGCATCAAGTTTTCCTGATTACTTACACTGCTAAAAAAATCTACACCCTGAGCCTTAAATCCACACCTTAGAAACGAAAGAAGAATGGTATTTTTGTCAAAACTTAATATTAGAGACCAACTTATAAGTATTATGAATATTCTAATTATATTTCTAGAGATGATTCTGACTTTTCAGTTAAAAATACTTTTTTGTCCAGGCCTATTTCTTTTTAGAAGGCATTCTGGCGGTACATTCCATCAGGTGTTAACTGGTTAAATGCCAACCAAGAGCTGCATCCCCAGCAGCGGAATAAAATGACCAGTGGGTCTAAGGGAGAAAGATAGGCAGTCCCCTAATGTTAAAATGTATAACCTCATTAACAGTTATTTGCTGGTTACAGAAAACAATGTTCCCTATGAGCTGAAACACACTTGATGGTAGGGAGATGAATTTTGTTGAGCTATAAAAGATAAAGTATCTTTCAATTGTTGAATTAAAATAGTCCCTTAATTCTTTTACTTTCCAAAACTGGTGAAAATATTTTTTTTTCTAAGTGGATCTAGAGTACTTGCAGCAATCACTGATAACAAAAACCCACTGCCAATAAATCAATTCTGATTCACAGCAACCCTCTAGGAAAGAGTAGAGCCCCATATGGTTTCCAAAGCTGTAAGCAGACTAGGTGATGGCTGTATGCTTCATTTAGTATATTCTCCTCTTTAGTCTCGTCAGGATGTTGAAGAATCTTATTTCATGTAGCCTTAAACGCTATCAGTTTATACGTGATACATCTACAAAATGCTGCAACTCAATTATGTCAGAATTTACTATTTGACTTATGGGGTACTTCATATTTTCTTCTGAAGAAATCAGAAATGAGAGAAGACAATCCCTTTAAAGACTGATAAGAAATCATAAAATATCTGACTGAACAAAAAAGCTGCCTTACTCAAGGAGCTTCAATTCATATTCTAGGGTGGTCATACCCCTGAGATCTCTGCAATGGACTTAGCTTATATTGGATGATAAATTATTAGAATACAATCAGTCTTACACAACATTGCCTTAGAATTTGAATGTAGTTGTTGCTATGTGCTGTTGAGTCATCTGTGACCCATAGCAACCCTATGTACAGCAGCTCTGAACCCTGCCCTGTCCTGAGCTAATCTCATGAATTCTGACACACCAACCCTCATGCCCTGGTTTCTTTATCAATCCATTTCATTCAGGGCTCCCTCTCCTGCACTATCCCTCTACCCTTCTGAGCATCATGGCCTCAGTCTCTCCCGGCCACATGCCCAAAGTATGGGAGATGGAGCTTCAAAATCCTAGCCACCAAGGGAAACTTGGTTTCACCCTCTCAAAGACAAATCTATTTGTTTCCTTGGTGGTCCATGTTATGTTCAAGACTCCTCTCCAGCACCACAATTTGAAGGCATCAATTCTTCTATCCTCCTTAGTCATTGTCCAGCTCTCTGACGCGTAGCAAGCAATTGCAAAGACCACAGCCTGGATCAGGTGCACCTTAGTGTATAGACTGACATCATTGCTTCCCAATAATCTGGAGAGGTCCTTGACAGCAGATTTTCACAATGTAATTCGTCTTTTGATGTCCTGACTGCTGGTGCCAAGAGTGTTGATTGTGGAGCCTTTGAATGCTCTATTAATATTCTGAATAACACCATGTATTTCTCATCCAATAAAGCCTTGAATGTTAATGCCTTAACAAAGGTGTTCTCAAGTTGGTTCCAACTCACAGAGACCCCATACACAAGAAGAAAAACCGCCCTTTTTCTCAAATTCCTCCTATGCTTGAGCCTACTGTTGCAGCCACTGTGTCAATCCTCTGAGAAGCCTCATCATCTGTTGCTGATCTTCTACCAGACATGACGTCCCTCGTCAGAGTCTGGTCCCTCCTAACAACACTTCCAGAGCATGTAAGATGGTCTCACCATCCTCTCTTCCCAAGTGCATTCTGGCTACACTGCTTCCAACACATATTTGCTTATTCTCCTGACAATTTATGATACAGTCAACATTCTTTGCCAATATCAAAATTCAAAGACATTAATTCTCCTTTGGTATTCTTTGTTCATTATGTAGATTTCCACAGGCATATGAGGTGACTGAAAATATCACAGCTCAAGTCAGGTTGACCTTATTCCACAAAGTGATCTTTTTTGCTTTTTAACTCTTTAAAAAGAGATCTTTTGCCGCATTATTTGCAAATGCAATATGTTGTTCATTTCTTAATTGTTGTTTCCATATATGCTGATTACAGATTCAAGTAAAATTAAATCCTTGACAACTTCAATCTCTTCTTCATTTATCATGACACTGCTTCTCGATCCAGTTGTGAGAATCTGTTTTCTTTATATTAAGGTGTAATCCAAACTAAAGACAATAAACATTTTATCTTCATCAGTAAGTATTCCAAATCTTTGTTTCCAACATGCAAAGTGGTGCTATCTATATATCACAGGTTGTGAATGTGTCTTCTTCTAATCCTGATGCAGCATTCTTCTTCACACTGCCCAGCTCCTTGGGTTTATGTGCTCAGCATGCAGGCTGGATAAGCATGGCGAAAGTATACAACCCTGACACATAACCTTCTCTTATTTTAACCAACAAAGAATTCTCTTGATTATTTGCTTGTTTCTCATGGTATCAGGTGTCTTAGTAAAAAAAAAATTTTAAAAAATAAAAGTCTATATTAATGACACCATATTATAGTATTCCAAGATTTGGTAATTAGTAGAGTGTTTATTAGAAAAGCAGCTAATTGATCCAAAGTCTCCTTAGTATTTTCTGAGATTTGTTTCCTTGAAACTCTGGGTTAGACAGGGCTTACAAACTATGGATTTATGTGTCCTCTTGATAATAGATAATACATCTCTTTTTCAGATTGCTAAAATATTTGGTGACTGGAATCATAAAAACCTGAGAGCAGCCATTAAAGGTACAACATATAGATTATTTCCAACTAAAACAACAGCAAAAGGAAGAAGCCAAGGAACCAATGAAGCCAGTGTTTTGTTTTGTTGGTTTTTTATTAATTATTTTTTATTATTTCATTATTTTTTGTGTGTACCGTCAAATCAGATCTGACTGGTACAGGAGGAGACTGTTCCTCCTTCTCTAGCAGAGGATCTGGTGGATTTGAACTGTGCACCTCTGAGCTTGCAGTTGCAGCTTCTTGCCACTAGGCCACCAGAGCTCACCAAGACAGGGCTTTTGTGTCACAAGTGTCTAACACCTGAAATGATTAGCTGGTTTCTTGCCAAGACTTCCTCACTGCCAGTGAATCAGAATTGACTAATAACTAACCTTCATTGGGTCCCTGAGGTTGTAAATCTCACAAGATGAGATTGTCCATCTTACTCCTGAGGAGTCACTGGTGGATTCAAACCATAAGAGCCTTTGGGGTACCAGTTAGGCTCACTATGGATTCTATCAGAGCTCTAATTAAATCATGATCATAATAAAAAAGAGGAAGTTAGTTATAAAGCATTACTAGTTCTGAAATATAAAAGTATAAAGAATTCTTTCCCCCACAACACTAATGGTTATCTTTCTAAATGTTAAAAAAATCTATATATTTTAGCAAATAATCTTGTAGCTATGTTATAACCTAATCTTTAACCATAGCTTACTTGTCCCATGTTACTTGTTTCAAACTACTGTTTTCAAGGTCAATAAACATTTCATTTTCAAAATTATTGTTTTCGAAGTTAAGAAACATTTTGTTCTCAGAAATAGGGAATGAACTCTGTTTTCAAAGCTATAAGATCTCATAACTAAGACTCTTTTAACTCAGCAGTCACATAAATGTAACAAATTGGAAATTTTGTTTAAAAAAATCCTGATAACGTTCTCTATATAAGCATTTGAAGGATCCTAACAAGCTGTGCTGCCCTAGTGCTAAGGAACTGCACTGCCAGCCCAGACACATGGTTAGAATCCACCAGCTGCTCCACAGGAGAATGATACACAATCTCCTCCCTTGTGATTTACTGCTTCTGAAAACCTGCTGGAGGGTCAGCTATGAGTCAGTTCTGACTCCGCAGTATAAAACAAAACTAATGGTCAGGACTGTGCTCTAAGTTGTTCATTTTTTTCCGTAATAGTAAGGTGCACACTCTTAGCATGGAATAGGAACTCCAGGTAACTCAGGATGGTTGCAACTGAGGATGCTGGGGTGCACATAGCCTGCACAAAAGAAGCCTGGCTCAGTTAATGTTAGATGCTGTCACTGTTTTGCTCTTAGCATCTTTGAGTAAAAAATGTGTGTCTATTTTGTATTAGGTCCTGGACATCTGCTTCTGTTCCCCAACCAGAGCCAGCTAAGGACCAAACCTCTAGTTCTCTGGGGGTAAGGGGCAGGCTTTTGTGTATACTGGCCATTCCCTGAGGACCTTTTTGGCCTAATCCAGTCTTTGGACACTCTAACCTCAGCTTCAGTGCACCACATTTTAGTTTCCCAGGCCCTGGGCTGTATCTCCCAACCTGCCCCAGGGCAAGCCTGTTTCGTCTCTTAGGATGCCTCCACTCTTACCATGGTGTGCTTCCACTGGCCCCAGGATGGCTCCACCCAAATACCCCATATCTAGGGATGCATCCCCAACCACCTGCAGGCTGTGCCAAAGTTACCTGAAACTTGTCGGGGTCTGCCCCTCCAGCCTGACCCACAAAGACGCCAGCACCGGGCTCCAGCTCCAAGCCCCTCAGGGAACGTTGGAAGGGCAGCCTCTGGATCTCCTCGCAGTCCACGTAGAGCACTGCAGTGCCGCCCTCCACACTGAGCGAGAAGCGGGTCCACTGGTTGGTGAAGGAGGGCAGGCGGAAGCTGGCTGCCGTGCGCGTGCGCTCTGCGCCTGGCACCGTGTATAGGAGCTGTATGTGCTGCTGCCGGTTCTGCACGCTTGAGAGCTTCACGCCCACTCGGACCACCGCCTGAGTTTCGTCTGTGACGGCAAATAGCACTCCTGCGTCCTCTGTAGCTGGCTTCACGTGGAAGAGGAGAGAGAAGTCCCGGAAGAAGGGATTGGGCAGGTGATAGCGAGCCACCTGGCCACTATTGGCGTCTGGACCGAAGACATAGGCTGGGCCGACATCTGGGTCCTCAATCTGGGTGACTTGTGGGGGCGGGGGATCCCCAAGGAGCTGCAAGAGGCCCACCTCCTCTGCACCAGCACTATCTGGAAAAGGAGAAATATGGGTGAGGCTGAGGTACCCCAGAACCCTATGGAGACAGGCAGGGTAAGAGAAGGAAGCCAGGGCACCGTGAGGGGACAGGCAGGTGGCAGAAACCAAGCTGAGGAGGGCTTGACAACGTGCTGTTTGGTCCCATTGACAACCTTTTTTTGCAAAATACCATCGTGGGGTTTTCTCTGAGGCTGTACCAGGCATTCCACTGGGGCAGGGGATTCACAACCACAGATCACTCCACCCTTAAATACCCCCAAGGAGCTTAGATGCCAAAAGGAGACCCCCAACAAAGAGAGCATCACAGCTGGTGCCGTGGGGAGCCTGAGGAAGGGCCCCTCCCTCAACGCGGCTTCCCCTTCAAAGTAAAGGTGCCCTGGTAAGTGTGCTGTGGGCGTCAGGCCATCCTGTCCCACACCAGCCCTGCAGGATCACTCATGCAGCCCAGTCAGTGCACCCCTACCCTAGGCACCCCATCAGCCCAATATAAGAAAGCAGAAAAGACAACTCTGTACCTGGCTGTTCACCCTAGTTTAATCTACATTAGGAGCCAACCAGGAAGCAGATGAAATTCCTGAATAAAAAGCATGACCAATTAGAATAGTGTAGGCTTCCTACACTTCCATTCACCACAGTGATCTCCTCGCTCATGATAATGCCTTGTATAAAGTGGAAACACTGGCAGTCCCCCCAGGTTGGTTGGCAGGGCTTATCTTTCCACAGCCTGGTCTTGGGGAGGGGGTGGTTGCTGGCTCTGAGACTGCTCCAGGGACCCCAAGAGAGAAAGCTACCTGCAGGGGAGGGCTTATCTCGCAGCTGAGTACTAATGGGGTGCCCTAGCCTCCTAGATTTAAAGTTGCTGCACAGAGTGACTAGTATATTGCTATGGGTTGAGTTATGTCCCCCAGAAAGGACATGTTGAAGTTCTAATGCTAATCTGTGCCCTTAGTTGGAAAAATAAGTCTTTCTTTGCAAGTGATACCAGTTAATCAGAAAGGAGTATGGTGAATCCTAAACCTAATCCCTTCTGAGTGATGTCTTATAAAAGGAGAGTGTACACTCTCTGGAGGGACCTACACACTATGTGAAGACACATCTATGAGTCAACGTATATAGCTGGGAGCCACCCATGGTTGGGGAAGGCCTGGAACAGCCTCAGAAACAGCCAGCAGCTAGATCTCAGACCCCAGCCTCCAGCACTGTGAGACAATACATCTCTTGTCTTTAAAGCCCCACTTTGTGGAGTTTGCTGCAGCAGCAACAGGACATTCACATACCACTGAACTCTGGGCAATCCCCTCTTCTAAGCTCTTCCTCTCCTGGAGGCCTTTGCTGCTCCTGTCAGTGTCTAGAGTCAACAGCAGGTCACCTATTCTCCTCCTACCCCTGTGTGGGACCCTCTCCCATAAGGACAGCCATGCACCCTGCACCAAGTTATCTTCGTTTCCACCTCAGGTGCTGATAGAAAAGTGAAGACTGACATCAGCCCAAGGGAAGCCAGGGGCCCTTGCAACACCTCTGAACAATGGGAGTGCAGTGGCCACTTTGTGCTCATAGATGACACAGTCCACTGTGATTGTGGCTGTCACTACAGGTCCCTGTGTTATGAAGTGTCTAGTCTCCAGTTGTCCACCTGACAGGACAGTCTAGGGATTAGGAGACAGCTTTTTCACCAGCCTAAGTTCTAGTGACCTGCTCTCATGACTTAGTCTCCCCCATCTACAACAGAGATAAGCTTGCCACTACCTCTACCTAAGGGCATCTTGAACTTGTCCAAACCAAATCACAGTGCAAGGTGCAACTACCATTGACTTCCTGGGTGGCTGATAAACATCAAGTGCCACAGAGATGGCAGGAGATCCTAGACACAGAGTGAATGGCTCCCAACATTCTCATGGCCTTTCCAGATCCTGAATGCCTCGTGCCCTGGGTCAACAGTATCCTCTCCTACTGTGGGGGCTGGGAGTGGAGGATACACCCTTCTCAACACCTCAACTGTGACCAAGGTACCAGCCAAGAAAACCACCTTCCCTGTAAACCAGTCACCCTGCAGTGTTCCTACCACTCTGAGGATGTGTGGAGAGGGAATCTGTGCCATGCTGGGCTCCTCCTATCCACCCAAACCGCTCAGGTAAAAAGACATGCAGAGCTGAAGACTATTGCCTCTTCACCAAGCAAGTCAGCAGAGGCAAGGATAATTCTTGAAGTCTGGTATGTTTAACTATGCCAAGGATGAAATGCCCCAAGTCAGCACCATTGGAACAGGTAACATCTGAGGCCTGGGGTCCATTCACATCTACTGATGGCCAGGAGAGCCTATAGTAAGGACACCCTGGTTCCAGAAACCAAATCAGGAAGAATGGGTGTGTCCAAAAGTATATTCCTGTCATCTGAGTGAGTGGAAACTACGAGGCCCCTAGTTTCTGGGAGCTCAGCAGAGACCAGGCTCAGACTGTGGGACGCCATTCCTCATCCTCTCCCAACAGTGCTGCAGCAAGGCCCAGCCCTGCAGTCTCTGCTACATCATGTGAAATCAGACACAGTCGATGGGAACTGAGCCTAAAGCCAGCCCATGGCGGGTCCTCGCCAATGGCCTCTTGCTCCAGAAGCATGACCCTCATATTCAACTTCCTTCCACGATGAAGTAGATTAAGACAGAAGTGCTCATTACTGTTCAGAGTATAGGGAATGGCCAGAAAATGCCCACATTGTGAAAGCTAGCATGGTCTAGCTGAGCAGACATGGAACAGACAACACCAGAGTTTCCAACCAGTAGCACGGGCTGGTCTGTGTGAAAGTCACTCAACATAAGACCTGCTATCTGAATACTTCTCCAGGCTCGTGTCCAGCCATGACCTGCCCCTGTCCTGGGTCACAGCCTAGAACCCCATATCCCAGCAAGCCATCCTTGTGCATTCTGAACATGTGTGCCCAAACACCATTCACCCCACCGACACAGCATGCTCCCCACACTGCGTGCCCAGACACCTGCAGGCACCCAGTACTGCATCGATCTTTGAGATACCACACACCTTTGCATGACCTGAAGACACTTCAGTGCAGCACCCAGGTGGTCCAAGACTGCTCGCAAGAAGCAGCCTGCCAGATAGACCCCTATTTTGATGCAACCTGGGGTCTGGACCATCCTGAAGTCCTGAAGGTGTCTGCTTTACCTCTTGGAAGGATGAGACCTACTTGTCTTGCTGGAGGCCACTCTCCTTCCCACAGATCTTACATCTCTGCTTCTGAATGAGTCTAGAGGGCCAGGACTGCTGAGTGTACAGGGATGCACCCCATGGCATCCATTATGGCAACAAATGACTATATAGAATCCTGGTCTGGTAAGGTTATAATCTTTGCTTCATTGTCTTTGAGTCAGTTTTAACTCACAGCTGACCCTCCAGAGGGTTTCTGAGGTTCTAAATCGCACAGGAGGAGATCGTCCATCTTCCTCCTGAGGTAAGGTTGTTGTTGTGTACCATCAGGTCGGAACCAACCCACAGATGACTCTCCAGCAGGTTTTCAAAGGCAGTAAATTGCACAGGAGGAGATTGCCCATCTTTGTCCCGCAGAGCACTTGGTACATTTGAATTGCCTTCCTTTGAGCTGGAAGCACAATTCCTTCCACTAAACCTTTGTGATAGCAGTACAATTCCTTACCACTAAGCTGTCAGAGTTCACAGATCTTGATTTGAGAACAAGATACAGGGGATGTGCTTTGCTAAGGTATTTCCTGTCTTCCACCAGTTATCTGGGCTCCTTGACTACTGGGCTCTGGAGTGGCAGGGGTGGGGATTCCAGCATCCATTCTCGGTTGCTTGTCCCACCACACTCACCTCAGATGACACCAGAGTGGCTGGGGGGATGGCCTGTGAAGCTGGCACATCACAAAGTTAGAATGCCTTCTGATGCATGAGTCAGGGCTGTGAAAATGGGAGAAGGAGCAGGAAAGGTGGAGTCAGGGTGTTGAAGAGGTGGGAGGGGAGGCAGGAAGGTCAGGAAGAAGTAAAAGCCCACAGGGGCAAGGTGGAAAAGGTAGGCAGCAAGGAAGGGGGCTGGTGGTACAGGGGGGATGGAGGGCAGGCGTGGCTCTCAGAGACCAGGCAGCAACCACACAGGACAAGCCGTGATGGAGCCAGAGTTGTCAAACAGCCCGACCCCCCATCCCACCCCACCCCAGCAGCAGTGGTGGAGGCCCCCTGTGCCTCTCTCTAGTATAAAATATGGTGCTTACTATTTTACTAGCATCCTATTTCACTTAATATATATAGTGGATATTAAGCTGTACACACCTGCATTTTATGTTTATCAGACAAATTCCAATCCAGTGTGTGTGGATTTGATGCTTGACTACAATTCAAACTGACTGCAAACTGAAACAGCTCACAGAGACAGTCAATGGTACCAGGACCACTGCCCTTTAATATCCACATGGGCCTAGATAGAATACCCAGTAGCAGCAGCCACGATCATTCAGGCCAAGGGCTGGCTGCCACAGTCGAGGCTGGATCCCAGGGACTCAGGAAGCCGCCCTGGACCAGGAACAGGATCTCACTACATATCTCTCCACAGTGCCCTCACACAGTTAGGCTCTCAGGGCACTACCCTCAGGGCTGCACTGTGACTCCCCACCCAGTTCACTCCTGAAAGGACACGAGAGGCTGAGCAGCTGCCAGAAGCCACTCTGGCAGAATTTCCCAGCCTGCGGAGTTCTGCCCCGTGCTCGCTGTGGTATAATGTCTCCTGGGACAGTTTGGTAAAACTGGCCCCATTGTTAGGAAACCTCTTAAGGAAATCCCTCAGCACTCTCTATGTTTAGAAATACAGATTGTGATATGGCATGGAATTAAAAGTCACAGCCAATCCAGAAGAGAAGGCGGGGCGGGGGGGTGGGGGGGGAGGCAGGGAGCCACAAGGAGAGCCCTAAATCCCCATCAGTAGGAGCCATAAAGTGAGAGGGCTGAGAGGACTGAAATACAGGAGCAATCACTCA